TTCTGTAACTAAGCTCAATTTCAAAGACAACTTTTGATTGCTTCATAGTTCATCTTTCCAAGTTCACATTTTTTTTAGATAGGCGTCTTAAACATTAGGCAGATCACATTTGTAATAAAAAATGCATACTTATGTTGAAATGCCATACCTCTATTTATATTTTTTAGTACAAACTACAAACAAAACAAGCACATTTACTGAAAAATTCTCAGTGCTTAAACGTTATAACTGTCTAAAAATAGTGTTATTGTTCCTAAGTTTGTTTGTAAGTAGTTAGAGACTTTAAATTTAGGAGTACGATTAATGGGCGAGTTTAATAAAATACAACCTACTCACAAAGATAATGGGGAATAAAATCTCTTCATACTGATAAAAAATAAAATAAAATAAAATGTTCAGGAATGAGGGCATTCAGCATAGAACCAGTTGCCATGCTAAATTGATACATCTTAGTTATTAAATGAACTTTCTTTTTTTCTCCGTATTCAGACAAGAGAAAGTTCGCCAGCAGGAATCGATCTTTTTACAAGTTTAGCCCACGCCTCATTTGTTTCCGTTATAACCTTTAGAGCAAAATCCTGTATAAAAACAAGATTACAGAGTGACCATAAAATGGAAATCTGCCTCTGAAGCTAATAAGAGAATTTCTCACTATGTTCAACTAAAGTACTATTAATTTATTTATTCTTTTTTTTTTTTTTTGGGGGAATAAGTTGAAAACAATACCTTATTTGCTGGCTTATTGCCAAGACCGAACTTGTTAGCCGGTTTACCATCAGGAATCTTGTAATCTCTAAACCAGTCCCTTATTGCAGTCAGAGTTCCCTTTAACAAGTTGTTGAAACGAGTTCAAGTTGATTAGCAGAAAATTTTCATTGAATAATAATTAACAAGGAAATTTTTTTATTCTATCATGATTCATGAACTAGAATTGCAGTATCTATAAGTAATTTTACCGGAAAATGCTTATCGACATCATCCACGTCATTAACAAGGGAAGCTCTAGGATCGTCCAATGAGATCGCAACAATTTTCCAGTCAAGCTCCCCTTCGTCTATCATAGCCAAAGCAGCCAAAGGCTTCACTCTCAACACTTGCCCGATTTTAGCTCGACTCTCCCCAATCTCAACAACATCAACTATGAAAAAAAAAAAAGTACTAACTATTAAGCTTTTTCTTTGATTTACCTTATTTATGGCTTTTGTTACCTTTATTTGATAAGAAAATACAAGTAAAATAATAAAAATGTATTATCATGTACCTGGATCGTTGTCTCCAAATGCTCCCTCAACTTCGGCATTTGCAAATGACGGGTCTTCCCATGTTTGTGGAAGCAGTCCATAGTTCCAGTTAATGTTGTAGCTACAAAAGAAAAACAAATACAATTTTCGATTGACAGGGAGATAAGATATTGACAGGAATTTTCGATTATCAATTTGAATACCAACTTGTGCTAATATCAACTTGTGCAAAGTCTGCAGAGTAAAAAGTGCATTCAAACTTCTATATTGTTTATACACAAGAAATAAAATATAACTAAGTACAGTATATGCAAAGTCCACTTTTGAGAGGTGATCTGATACCAGTACTATGAAATCCGTATATTAATCCTATGACACAAAAGGATTTTCATTATCCACAAAATACTTGACAACCAAGATTTGGAATCCCTTGATCCAAAAATCAAACAAACTCAGGCTCCAAATAACTAATAAAAGAATGCAAGCCAAAAACCTAATAAACACAATATATACACTAATAAACTATTTGGGAATTATATGAAGGACTAGGAAAGCTAAAAGCCTAGAAGAAAAAATAGTTACGGGTAGTATCGAAGTTTGCCCTTCTTCGTATCTTGTTTAATAGGAGTAAAAACCTCATCTGTAGCAACCTCCATCTTTGCACTTGATTGTTTTGGAATCTCGACAATGAAATTGAATACACCATCTCCCAAATGCAATGGTATATCATGCCATGGGGAAATCTGCACACAGAATAGTGACAGTACTTGGCATTAGCTCACATTCATTGTACAAATACAAAACAATTCCCTTTATCTATATGTCAATGTGCTACCTTTAAATTATATTGTTTTCAACTTTGCCATGTATTAAAAGTTTGATCTTTATTTCTCACTGCCTTTGTAATAGTATATCTTGAACTCATTATTGAATTTCCTAATTCTTAATATTCATGCTTAGCTCTTCACATAACTGATACATACTAATAGCAATTAGAGAAACATCATATATAACTCATACATATAATCCGAGGATCAACGAGACAAGCAACATTATTAACCACAACTATAAATCTTTCAACTAAAAATTGACAAAAAATATACCAAGAATGCAGCTTTCAAATAAATTCAATTATCTGAACCGAATATCAAAATCTCAATTGCCAATTAAAACCTCAATAATAACAACAAAGTAGGATTTTCCCCACCTTTTTTCCAGAATCGTCGAGGAAGAATACGCGGTAGTCTAGGGTTTCGGGAAGGCCCTCTTCCTGAATCCGAATTTGGGGATTGTATATTGCGCTACAACTGAACAGCCGGCTTTTTTGCCCCGACGACCTGTTGTTGCTTTTGAAGAGGAAACTGAGGCTTCGAGGTTTTCCTCTCAGCGGAGCTCTCGAGAGCAGACTGCCGGAGATGGCGTGGCCCGCCGACGCAATCACTCTCGTGGCCGCCATTTTTGTCGATGAGCGAGAGAGCTCTGTGGGCCGTATTTGGTAATGCTAATTGCTGGGTGATTTCTGTGGCGACTGTTACAGTATCATCTCAATCGTTTTATATTTTGTTTTATTTTATTTTATTATTTATCTATGTCTATATATCTATTACTATATAATACGGAGAAGAAAAATTATTTGAACAATCCGAAAATAATTATTTCGTTTTCCCGCTTCAATATAATGTTTTTCCCGCTTCTTCAATTCGTAAATTTTTTTTTTGAATTTTTTCAACCCATGCAATTAGGTAACCAATCAAATCGAATCTTTTAGCATTCAATTTGGTAAGGTGTTCTGATTTTAGCATTCAAATCCGATTTCACTTCCTTTTTTTATGTCAATCAATCGGATTTTTTTGGTTGTTTCAAAATTTGTTTAGATTTATATTTTTATTTTATTAATATATTTGAAAGAGAATCAATAAATATTTATCATAACTTTTATTTTAAAAATAAATTTGAATAAGCATACCTTTTACTTTATATGAAATTCAAAATTACATATTTTAATATATTAATAAACGTTTATTATTTATTTTTTCCTTATGTGATATAATAGAATTTCGGTATTAAATTTGTAAATTCAAACATTTAAAGGAAAAGATTCCAAACAATTCTTTTGGGTAAATTTCATTTTTTATCTTAGTTTTCATTATCACATTTCTAACAAACTAATTAGTATTATATTTTTTTATCTACATTATCTAACCGATTTTTTATGATACAATTAATATAATATCTTAACAAATTAGTCATTTGTCTAACCGGATTTATCTCTCTAACAAACTTGCCAATTTTTTTTATTAAAATGGTATGATTATTCTTATGGAGATACTTATCAATATATTAAATATTTAGAAACTTTTTTTAAAAAATGAGTTATCCCTCCTTTTACTTTATTTGAAATTCTGACTTATATTTTTAAATATATTATTATTTATATTTTTACATGTAAATATTTATTATTTATTATCCAAGTGATAAATATTATTGATTTATCTCTTTAATAAATATTTATTATTTATTTTTTTCCCTACGTTATATAATGTAAATTTGGTTACTAGATTCTTAAATTCAAACATTTAGGAAAAAACCACGAACAAATTTTTTGGTTACATTTCATTTTATTTTAACTTTCATATAATCACAATCCTAACAAACTAATTAGTATAATATTTTTTTACCCATTTTTATATAATCGAATTTCTTAAAATATAATTAATATAACATTTTAACTATTTAATCATTTGTATAACTTGATTTAACTCATTATCAAACTTGCCAAATTTTTTTTGAAATTAAAAAAAAATTGGAAGATTTTTATTTGTAAAATAATAAAAAATAGCTTTACTTTAAAATCTGAATTATTTTCATTATTTTTTATACGTTAACAATCATATATTTTGGATTATTGATTTAAAAAAACAAATCAAAACCCTAAGGTTTAATAATATTCTTTAAATAAAAAATATTGTATAAAGAAAAGTATTTAATATTATATATTTTTCATTGATTGTATTTATTTTATTTTCATAATAGACGAGATGTGAAAAATATAAATAATTATATTTAAAATAAAGACTAAAAAATGTTTAAAATATGAACTTTTCCGTGCATCGCACGTGATATACACTAGTATATATATAAAGAGGAGCAATATAGTATTTAATTATATTATCATGCATTAAGTTTTATTATCCCTCCAAAATTTTCAAATTTTCAACATTCAATTTCATTTTTAAGTTACAAAATAACTTGTTTTAATATCATAAATTATGAGCAGAAACCAATCAAGGGAGTTACAAAATTGTACTCAAATTTTAAGTTACACCCACTCATGAAAATGACTGGATATATTAGCATAAAGAAAATGGTTGTAACGGCTCTTCCATAACAATTACTTGATCAAAATCAATTTTGAGAATTATTTTCTTAATTCATATTTTTTTCATGAATTAAATTATGATTTGTTTTTGTTTTTTTTTTATATTGTTATCTTTTTAAAGTATTCTTCTCTATTCAAATGCACAGGTTGATTACTAGTTACTATGAATCTCGATGCACTTATATTAAATAATATTCATAACTTAAGTTGTGAAATTAATATGTATTATGACTTCCATCCATATATTAATTTATGAAAAGTGCTACATAAAATTTAACTAGGGCAAAAATGCATAAAACAAATATATATCACATTTATTATGTTTAGTGGAAAGTCATATTTTGAAGGTAGCATAATACTTGTTGGTATTTTACCGACTTCATATATGTAAATTCAAAATTAAAAAATATTATTTTTTTATTTATAGTTATGTAATATTCAACTGTTCATCAAATTTTCATTTAAATTACATTATTAATGAAAAAGGCACTTTATAAATTTAAATTATAATCTTTGTATATACTATTAAAAAACTATAAATAGAATATCTTTTTCCGCTGTTTGTATATAATCATTTTGTTTATGTATAAATAGGGTAAAGCCTTTTCCATAATCAGGTGACATAATAAGCAAAATAAACTCTTCAATGTACACTGTTTGATTGGTATGGTTCTGGTTTTCAGAAATGACTTGAAACTCATTTGAGAAATAATGGTGCGTTATACAAGCGTTAATAAAGAAAATATATTTAAAAATTAAAAAAAAAAGACAGTTTTATTTTAAATTTATAAATACTTTTTAAAAATTACAATTCTATTTTAATTTAAGTGACAAACATCACATGTAAGACTCGCTATGATGGATTTAAATTTAATACATAATTTTATTTAAGTAATATATAATTATTATTTTCCAATTACGATTTCTTGGATTACTTGATTTTTATTTATAATGATTTATATATATATATATAATGGAATATCGTCAAAAGATAATTAATTTAATACATCTTATGTGAAAATCGATAACAAATAAGAAAACCATTAAATTTTAAGACATATTAATAATTATAATTGACAAAATATATTATAATTTTAATGATTAATTTGACATTTAATTTACGAAAAATTGACACAAATAAACAAGTTATTAGATTTTAAAATATATTTATAATTTAGGTTGACAATGTGTTTTATAGTTTTGTAAACATTAAAAGGTATGGATAAAAGTCCAAACCTACAGACGTTACTTCAAAACAATATACTTTGACATATAAAATTACAAGCACCAAAAGATAAAACACAACTTCTTGATCTCAATGAACATATGGTGGGCTTTATAGACAAATGCAATTATGAATTAAAATCACCATAACAAGATGGCCAAGTCCATATGAAAACTTGGGAAAAATACAAATTTTATATTGTGTTTTGGTACATAAACAACGGGTCCTGAAAAACTTAGCTTATCAACCTTGCTGAATGCCACTAGGCCATGTCTGATTTTTTACGGGCTTCAGAATGCCTTCGATTTCTGCAAGTGTCTGTTCATCCTTTCCAACTTTCACTAGTTCAAGTGCAGCTTCTATGTTTTCATCAACCTGATTATAATTAGCATTAGAAAGTGACGTTATTTGGTGATTGTGTGGCTGAGATAGAGGAACACCAACCTGTTTGACCGAGTTCATCCCGACCAAGATTGTTGAGATATCCTTATTAGATAAGCTGTATTGCATGGCTAATTTTGAAATATTCTTTACTTTCTCTTTACAATGAGCAGCAGCAGCTCGACACGCGGCCTGAAGAGGAAAAACGTTAAGAAGCTGAAGGACAGAACGCATGTAGGAAATATCGACTTGCAAGAATAGTTGAGTATCTAATAGTGATAATTGGAAAAGAAAAAAAATGAAACATTTATTTTTCAAGATCACAATCACCCCAAAACAAATATCCCCTCTTTAGGATGCAATTGTATAAGAAAAACTATTTTCAAGGGCGTTAGTAATTTCAGAAGACAACTGGTCGGTAATTGCTAACAAGAGTAATCCTAATATATATTATCCATAATGATTGATGATTAAGAATGTGAATCTTTTTACTAAAAAGATGCTCAAGAACGTTCAAATATCATTACAACAGAGTAGTTTTCTCTGAATTGAATCGCACCACATGATCATTGATAACCATCGAAAACTACCACCTTTTTTAACGAAAGAACTATATATTACAGAACCCACCTTTAGTTCGGGGGAAGCAGGGTGCCATTGGGGAGGGCCACTTTCCGTAAGAAGACCCATTGCTAGTGGAGAAGCACTGATTATACCGACACCTTTACTCTTCAAGTAAGGCAGTAAATCCTCCAAACTGGAATCATTTATACTGTAATGGCAATATGAGAGAATTACATCGACTGTCCCAGGTGTCACACGATCAAGAACGTAACTGAAAATTTCCAGTGGAAGCCCTGTTATACCGATGAACTTCACCTTTCCAGATTCCTTCAGTTTAACAAGTGCAGGGAGAGTCTCAGTCACAATCTGTGCACAGAAAAACGAACCCCAAAATTTTAAGTCTATAGAACAAGTAGTGACGAAATACAAAAATAGACACATACACGCTAAAAACAAAGGTTCAAGTTACACTGAACCAAACATAGGGCCATAAGGATCTGAATTGAATTTATTGTTCATCATCCATGTCAAAGAAAGAATAAAACAGACACGCGCACACAAAAGAAAAGATTCACTTTGGTAGCAACTTGAATGTAAGCTATGAATTCTAGTGAAATTACCAATCATGAACAAATGAACAACAATGTACTAAAGTTCCATAATCCCATCATATTAAAACAATTACAATCAGATAAACTGTGTCAAAAACACTACATTCAGCAAACTCCGAGAGCTGAACGGACACAAATTAGACATGAAATGGTAATATAAGCTCAAGAGGCCATTTTCCCAGTAAAAATCGAAATGAGTGACCTGGTCAAGTGAGCCAAACTCAATATCATGACACTGCAAGATATCAACATAATCGAGCTGCAATCTTTCTAGGCTCTCATCAATGCTCCTCGTCACTCTTTCGGCACTAAAATCAAAACCCTCTACATACCGCCCGCATTTTGTTGATACAATGTACTCCGATCGAGGCACTTCCAGAGCCTTCAATGCTTTTCCCAACATTGTTTCGGATAATGTTCCCCCATAGTACCTAAAAAGTATGCTAAAAAGTCAGATCCTTCTAATGATTACACACTCATACAGGAATTTGTGTATTTGAATTAGATCGGCCACTCTTACAAACACAATTTGCACTGCCAATGACAAATCGCCTCAAATCAGCCAACACAATGATCAACATAATAATCGGAAATAGAAAAACGTCCACGAGATTCTTAACAGAACAAACTGAATAGCAGGGGGAATTAATTACGGGGAGGTGTCGAAAAAATTGACTCCGAGGCTAAAAGCCCGGCGGACGGCGGCGATGGCGTCGGATTCGTGGACGAGCCCGAAAACGTTGCCGAGAGGGGAGGCGCCAAAGCCCACGCAGCTGACCTTAAGGCCCGTTTTGCCCAAGGGGCGGAGCTCTAGGGAGGCTTCAGCCATTGTCGACGTGGAGTGTCAGTGTGATAAAGACTGGTTTTGCTGAATTTATCGAGGATAAATGATTGGTTACTATGAAATATGTTATTTTTTAGCTTTCTGTGTTTGTTTATAAATAAAGACTCAAAAGGCTCATTTACTTATGTTGATGAGATTGAACAATTTAATCCTATTATTTTTTTTTTACAAAAAAAGAAAAAAATTGATAGAAATAAAAAAAAAAAAACACATAANAATATAAATTAAAGAACAACTAAACAGTCCAATAAATTAGCTACTCAGCTGAAATAGTTAGGAGGACTAACCCAATATGGGGTAACCTGAGACAACCTAAAACCAACCTAAACACGATACGCAAAAACAAAAATACAGAGAACAAAAATATACACAACCTAAACAAAGAAACAAAGATACACAACAAGACCAAAACACAAAGACTACTAATAGAAAAACACTCTTCCTGTCCGCCAACCAGCACCCCAGGACCTTCGCCACCTGATCGACTCCAAAGCGGGAAACAGAAGAGACTTCAGCCCTCAGCCCAAAAACACACGGGTCGAGAAACTCCCTCTATGGCTAACTCGACTCGGATCGATGAACTTGAATCGTCCCCCGAAACCCCACATCAGACAGCTCCAAAAGACAGAAACCAAACACCCTCCCCGCCACCAACAATTGGCAATCGCAGCCCAAGAACCACCATACCAAAAGGAAAGAAGACGAAAAGCACGAAATCCCGACCACAAGAGCTACACGTAGCCATTAGCCCAAGCCCACAGCCGGCTCTAGAGGGGAGGCACTATAGGCCCATGCCTAGGGCCTCATTTTTAGGGGCCTCAATTTTTTTTTAATATTTATGTATTTGTGTTTGGTTTTGTTTATTTATACAAATAACAGGGATAATGGCTAAATATGAACTTGACTCATTACACAAATCAAGAGACTAATTAATGAAGAGGCTAATAGCAAAATATGTACTTTGTGTAGGAATTTGAGGCCCTAAATATTTCATTTATTTTCTTATAATGTTCGGTCAGAACAAGTTGTGTGAGAATAAATATTCTTTGCTGTAATATGATTTTTATTTTCTTCTCCTAGTTGTTTTCGTGACTGTTTGAATGCAATTTATAATTTATTAAAGGTAATTTTTTCAAGGTCTAGAAAAACAAGAAAAAAACTTTTTTTTTTCAATTACTTATTTATTTAATAGTCTTGTTTAATTAGGTTTTTTTCTTGTATGATTCTATCTACAAATAGCCCTACCACGCAAGTTCAAATCGGCAAATTTGAAAAGGTAAATTCGTCTGGGGCCTCCAAATTTCTGGAGACGGTCCTGCCCAAGCCTCGCGCCCCGCCCACGAACTGATGACCACCACCCCAGCCGCCAAGGCATCCAGGTAAACGAAACCACTCGACTTAAGCAACTGCTAGCTCGTCGGAGGAGTAGCCAGACCACAACCATCTAAGAGACGAGAGTCAAAGACGACCCTCAAGCCAGACTAGCGCCCAAGCACAAACCTAGCCACTCCCTTCACCAAATCCAAGCGACGGCTAGCAAGACCCATCCACTGAGTGAAAGTTGATTGTTTGTCCCATTTTTGTTGCGTTTCTCGTTGTCTTTTTGTCTTTCTTTTTCCCCATTTTAGGTCGCTTAGATGAGTTTTAATTCATTTTATAGTTTAGTTAGCGTTTTCTCTCTTCTTGGTTTTTCTTGTGTTTTTCCGTTCGTTTTCCGTTTCTTTCGTCGTTGTTGGTGTGTAGGTTGGAAGTCTCGGGAGAACAAGATTTCGGAAAAATACTAGCTGGGCAAGCCTAATCAAGTAGAGGAGTTCGTTGGGAACACACAGGAAAAAGCGGAATCGAATTCCGAGTTGAAACGAACTCAAACGGGCCCGAGAGGCAAAGTCGTGCGAGCTGTCCAGTTTTAGTCGCCGCAGCCGCGGAGAAGGATAAGTCGCGGCCGCGAGGGTCCCAAAACAGCCCAAAACGTTCCATTGCTGGCCAGTCGAGCTCGCGGCCTCGGAGATGGTCGCGGCCGCGGACCTTCCTTCACCGCGGCCGCGGAGGTATGGTCGCGGCCGCGGAGGTCGCGACAGCAGGATTTTAAAATTAGTTTTCAGATTCGTTTTTAAGGAGTTTTTGGCGAGGTTTGAACACCTCTCGACCGGGGTGAAAACCCTAGGTCCCGAGAAAACACAAAATCTCTTTCTCCTCTTTTCTTTCTTCTTCTTCCTCGTTCCTTTTCTTCTCTTAATCATTATTTTCCATTTTTCTTCTTCTTTTTCTTAGTTAGGGATTAAGCTTGTAACTCGAATTCAACATCTAAACTTGGATTGATTGTAAGTATTTCTTTCTCTTGTTTAATTCATGAATAATGGTTGACTTGAGTAGAATGATTATATTTGTTGAATTTGATTTATGTAGCTAATTCCTTCTGCTAGGGATAGGGGATGATTGTTCTTGATTAATTTCGTTATTATTGGGCTTTAATTTGTTCCTGCTTGTGCGAGTTGCTTTAATTAGGGTTAATTAATTTTTACTTGATAACTTGATATAATCGAAGGGTGACACTTCGATCTTGCAATTGGTATCAATTGAATGTTAATTTGTCGAGTTAGGGTTTGTTGGTTCTATATGATTAGTTGATTAAACACCTTCTAGTTGAATTAGCGACTTTTAGAACCGAAAGGGGAGAAGTCGTAGACCTAGGCTCGCATGAGATAGATGATTTCGTAACTGAATAGTCTATAGGTTTTGGATTGAAATACATACTTGCCGATGACCCATCTCTTGTTACGAAAAGTTATTGAGACTGGGATAATTGGCATGTGTTAGATGCTCGAGCTAGCTCGTCTATGTTCAATCCCTTGTTACGAAGAGTTATTGGGAGCGAACCGCTAGATGTCTAAGCGAGAGTGTCAATCTTGAACCGAACAATTGATTGCCCGGTTTTGCTTAGAACTTGAATAAATTATCCCCGATTTCCTAGCTTCTTTATCGCTTTCTAGTTCGTACTTTAGGTTCGTTTTTGTTTGCTGTTGATTTCTTAGTTGATAATATATTCCTCATTTCTGATTAGAGTGTTTAGGTTTTTATTTTTTTTTTTGTGTGGAATCAATACCGAAGTTAAATTCCGAACCGCCTTCCTCAAGAGATCGACCCGGAAAACGAATCCTTGATTCGGTACTCGGTAAAATATAACAATTTGTACACAACATTGACCCCTAATCGCGCTTAAGATGTAGTATAAAATTTAGTGAAAATTTTTCGTCTCTTGAAATGATTAGTCGAATTTATATAAATTTTTTATAAATATTTTTATTAAATTTGATACAAATGAAGTTTATGTTGAATAAATTTTGAAAAAGTTTGAATAAATTTTGAAAAAGTTTGACTTTCATAAATTTTCTAAATAGGCTTATAATTTGCCACATTGAGTTGCAATACTCCCTCGGCCATTGATGTTGCAATATGCATTCTATTCACATCAAGATAATCTCATTTCGTTATCAACCACGAACTTGGATATTATACCTGTAGTTTACTTCTTAATTTTATATCCATTATATGACCAATAGTTTGGACAATATTACTTGAATTACCCAACTCTGGATAAACTAATTGCTTGGAAGATGAACTTAATTGAGTTGATGTGCTATCACTCGGTCGGAGTCGGAAGGCCTCTCCTTGATCGCCGAGCATCTTCGATTGGAGAAGGGAAGCTTCGTTCTGCTTCTGGCTGGCATTCTGGCGGTCCTCCTGGTCGCCTTCGCTGTTCACGGCGGGGCTTCTGGTGGTCTAGGCTCTGGTCGGCGGCGGGTTGCAGTGATGTTGGGAGGAGCGTGAACCAGGGGGTGGGACGGGACTCCGGATGCTGTGGCGGTTCTGTTGCGGTAATTGGGGTTGAGGGTATGAGCCGTCCTCACCCTCCCCTGTTGACTAGTGGTGTTAGGCGGCGGGGACCTGGCTTTCTCGAGCTCGTCTAGTGGTGTTAGACGGCTTCGGGCTGGGACTGGTGTGGGGGAAGGTTGTTCTCCTCTCGGTTGGTAACGGGTCGACTCTGGGATTGGTTCGGGCTCGGCGTTGGCTATTGTGTAGGCGGTTGCGCAGTTTCGGTAGTGTTTCTTCGGGCTTGGAGTCTCTCTCGTGTCGATTGTTCACTGTTGGTTGGGTCGGTTCGGTTGTTGTGCAAGGACTTTGTGTGTTTTTGTTTTGTAGTTCTTGTTTTTTGTTGTTAGTGTTGTTTTGAGTTAGTATTTGTGTTAGTAAATGTGTTTTAGGTTTGGGCCCTTGGCCTCTGTGCACCCGAGTGTCATTTTCATTACTCTGTGGGGGTCCGACACTCGGGAATTACCCTGTGGGGGTCTTGTGTTGTTGTTTTTTCGTTGTTTTGTGTGTTTTTAGTTTCTAGAGTTTTACCCCGTTGGGGTCGGTTCTAGGCAGTCTTTTGACCTGTCCTCCCACTTTTTCAACTATGGGCTGCTTATATTCAGCTGTTGGCTGTTTGTAATCAGCTGGTGGCTGCTTTCTGCACATTTGTGCGTTATATATAATATCTCTATCGTTCTGGAAAAAAAAAAAAAAATCTAAAATCTTAAATCTTACCAAATACATAACACTTCATAATACAACACACTCAAATTTTATTAATTATAATTTATTTCTTCTCTATGAAAGACACATCTGTTGAAAAATAAACTTGATTTATAAATATTGTATTTTAAAGAATTGCCTAGAAGGTGGTAGAATACATATGTGTAGAATAATCTAGGAAAAGATAATTATGACATGTGTAGAAGTATGTAGAATAGATTTATGTAGAATAATCTAGGAAAAGTGAATTATGTGGCATATGCTAGAAACTTCCACCTTCCTCCAAGATTGACTATAAATATCCATGCATGATGTAAGGTGAATTGATGATAAAAAAAAGTTTCTATCTCCTTCCAATAAAATATTAGTCTAGCCATCTTCACACTACTCACTTTACTCAACATTCACATACACAATATATACATATTCCAACAAAGTGGTATCAGAGTCAAGTTTATTCCATAATGGCGAACAACCTACAATCCTTTCAAGTCCCGATTCT